ATATATATATATCCTGCTGTGACACATAGTGGTGTATATGTATAACAAAGAAATACAGTTTGGTGACTAGCTGATAAAAAATGCAGAAGTTTTAGAAGCTCAGTCTCATATTTCCCTCCGGGAGGTGTGAGAGAAAAAAACAGATCAAATTAGAGTGAAAACAGAAATTTGCATTTATTACCAAAACAAATACAGCTCCAGCTGAATGCTTAATGTTGGCTAATAATTTTCTGCAACTGTAAATAAACAGCAGCATACCACCATGTTCACAACATGAATTTTATAGATTACTTATATGAACAAAAAACAGGCAGAAGCATCCCTTGGACTATTTTTATTTGGTGTCTGAAGCCCTTTTAATGAAAACTTTAAAGTGCCTGTGACATGCATATTCTTCAAGTACAAAAAGTCAAAGATAATATCTTTTTATTTAAGAAAGTTGGAATCATACGCACGATTTAACGTATTTAATCCCATAACTGGCATATTTTCTTTTGAACGTGGCTCAGATAAAGTGAAACAGGAAGTGATATCAAAAGGGAACTCTTTCACAAAAAAAAAAAAAAAAAACTATGGTCTTTTTTATTGAAACAATACTATCTGAACTCTGACTTTTCTTCATCTCGCTTCATCTCGCTTTGATAGTGACTCAAAATAATCTTAAACATCAGATTCTTCTCTACACTGAGTTGTTAGTTAGTGTAGCAACACTCTGTTCACATGCAGACATTCCCCTTTGACATCACTTCCTGTTACTTCATATGCAAATATCTCAACAACTGTTCATCTCAGCGATATGAAATTTCTTTTGCAATATTTTATCAATGTCCTCTTTCTAAAAATGTGTTCATATGTATTACAAAAATTTGATGTCACAGGCACTTTAATATAAGTTGGTGAAATCAGCTTTTTATTTATAGATTTTGATTCAGCTGATAAATCTAAATCAAGGAAACTGGCATTTTTAGATGGAATGCCTATCACCTACCTTGTACTGTATCCCAATCTTAAACAAAGAAAAGTGTGATCTGTTAGAATTTATATATGTTTTGGGAGTGACTCTCATCTACCACCACACTAGATTTGTACTCACTATCTGTAAAATCGACCAAACTATTGCTATTTTTGTATTTAGTACTGATAAACTGTGGCGGCCATCTTGAATCAGGTTGACTCCAAAAGTTTATCAGTTGTAGACAAACAATTAGTTTAATTAAAATGTGTCAACTGGTTTATGAGATATTTTTACTAACAGAGGAATAAATGAACAAAGTCTTCACATTTTTATAACTTAAACAACAAATTTATCTTATCTAAAGATTTTGAACTAATTTTTTTTTCCTGATAGTAAAGTTTGTGATGGGACAGCACAACCAGACTGAATACAATGGCTTCAGAAAGGAAAAATATATCTAAACGTTGCATCTTTTAAGCTTTACCTATAACATTTTGTTGCAAGTACCAGTTTAAATAATATACGTCTGAAATTCCAAGAGGTTATCACTGTGTTCAGATGGACAGTTTTCTTCCTAATGATGCTACAACTCATCCTTATAGGAAATGAAAGAAAAAGGTTTGCAGTGTTTTATAACATGTTTGTCTAATGTGGTCATTTGGTTGCTTTGATTAAGTCTGGAAACATGTTGACCACCTCTGTTATTCAGCTGCTTGTTCCTTTTACACACTTTCAAGAAGACAACAGATGTATTTCGTAGAAACTTTTAGTACAAATACTAAATCAATAAATATCAAACAATAGGATGTAAATCTAAATATTTCCTTTCATTTAACTATGAATGAATGAATGAATGAATATAAAAGCACTTTTTGTTCTAAATAAACTGACAGACAGTTATAATGATAACACTAAGAGCTAACCCTCCTTCCTTCACCTCCCAGGCTGTTGTCTGAACTCTTCCCCGGGGCCACCGAGCTGTACGAGACCGTGGCGGCAAACCGTGAGCAGTGGACCAAAGTGTCCCACAAGTTTAACATCCGTGGTTTGCCCAGCAACAACAGCCTGGACTTCCTGGACCAGGAATACGAGCTGCTTCAGTCCCAGGGTGCTTTCGGGAGCGACGACCACTGCCTCAACGGTTGCCTTGATGACACAGACGGAGGGCAGGGCCAGTGACAGTGATGGCGGCCGGCCAGTGGCGGTTTTCCTGCAGCTTGTTTTTGTGTGTGTCTGGTCCAATAAGAGGCTGAGGATACCTTTTTTATGTGACCAAAGAGGGACGGGTCTCTCTGCTGTCAAACACTCTGACACAGGATTGAATCAGACAGGTGACCTGAAACAAAGTGGCTTCATCTGAGTCAGTTCTCTGATTAGATGCTCTGTGTTGCTTCTGTCAACCAGCTGAGGAGGGTGAAATTTTATCCTTTTTTTTTTTTCGTCAGCAGCTCCATTGGAAGAAAAACTGACTCAGTCAGAAATCCATTCACACAGTTCAGAACCTGCTGAAGATTGTAAAAACGCACACAGATCGACACATGTACACGTGCACATACTGTTCAGACTACTTCAACATGTGACACTGAGATGATACGTTGTGTAAAATGTTTCATAAGAGCTTATTTTTCATTTAAACAGCTCCGCTTCGTTCACACAAATGCAGCTGCCCTCTTTGCATGTGACTGCGAGACGTGGGGGCACCTCATGAATTGTTCTTTTTTTTTTATCTGGGTCAGTGTTGGTTTTCTCCATTCATTAAAAAAAAACGATGTAACACAAACATGTTTCGACCACATCAGAGCACGTTTTGTTCATTTATGACCTGGGAGTTTTTGTCCATTTAAACTTAAACCAGATTTATTTTATTTTATTTTATTTTATTTTATTTTATTTTTATTTTTTTAATCTCCCTTATTGTTTTGCTGAGGTTTAGGTGACACTTTGACAATCACTCATAAACAGCATCACAGATCCCCGACCTGCTTCTRTACATTAAACAAACAAACAAAAAAAAMCACACTTTCTGTGGATACAAAGTCACCAAATCAAATCAAAAGCCACCCACGACCTAAAAGCATTCTTTGCATTTGTTCTTTTGCACTTTTTTGTTCTCATTTCTCACAAACCTACCATCGATTGAGAAACAGGAACCCTTTAAAAGATCCGTCTCATTCGTCCGCGTAAGTGTGCTACAAGTAGAGTGTGTTTATATTGTGTGTCACCGAGTGTGTCATATGGATCTGCCTTATTGCGCATCTTTGCTGCCTTTCTTAGAGCTTTTAATATATAAAACCTAAATAGTCTGTTTAATGTTGGGTCGCAGCGCGAGAATCGTGTCGACACGATCACACCGACGACGTGTATATTTGTACAACCTTTGTTTGAGAAGAGTTTTCATTCTGTTTGTTCCTGTCTGTACAACCAGCTCCGAGTGTTCAAGGCAGATAAATATATTTTTGCTTTGGGTGATCCCCAAAAAGCACTTCTATATGTATATTTAAAAAAACAACTGAACAAGAGATGTAGCCATCATAGAAATTTTTCGTTCTTGAAACACAGTTGCTGCACTCCGACGGTGTTGGGTTGTCTGATTTGTGCCTCATAAAAAAAGAAGAAAAGAAAAAAAAACACTTCAGGGCCAAGGGTATCTTTGTTTCAACATGCCATAAGTTTTACTTTACAATAACTAAGAAAATGCTGCAGAGTTGAAGTAAAAATGACGGAGGGCGTGTGTAACGGACAGAGCTGTAGAAGATAAGAAGAGAGAAAAGGATGGAAAAATATGGTTTAGGATCAGGAGAGGAATGGGGGCAAAACAGCTGCTGAAGGTGAGACAAACCTCAAATCATCTACAAATGAGTTCTGTCATAGACAGAAGAGACACATCTTCAAGAATCAAAGAGTCCAGCTGCCTTGAAGAAATGTCTCTTCTCATGCAAGGATTTCTAAATTAAAAGGTGCGACGTGTGTTTGCAAATCACTTTTCCTCCCATCCCTCCTGAGGATCAAGGTTTTTGTTATCCTGGCCCACGTGCAAGAGCAAAAATTATAAATCCGAGCAGCACTTTACAGCACAATCTGTGCCCTCATTTACCCATCTGCACATTCATTCAGCACTGCTGTATCTCTGCAAAGCTAATCTAGATAAATCATTCTGCAGAGACTAATCAGTGCTTTAGATCAGGGCTTCCCAAACATTCTTAGTCTTTCTTTTGTTACTAAACAACAAGTTATTTTATGTCTCTTCAKACATACCTCACATCAGCTATGACACCTCTGACGAAGATGGAAGCAAATACGTCGAAACATGTCAGGTATRTCTGGAGAGACAAAATAACAGTGTCTAGTAACAAAGAAAGGTTGTAGGAATTATTAGATGTGCACGATGAACTTGACTGGATTGTTCCCAAACATTTCCATGCCATGGCCCCCCAAACAGCATTGCAAACTCAAAAACACTGCAACAAAACATGTAAAGAAGCATAAACTTCTATTCAGCCGTTAWTATATTTGTTTAGCATATTAAATTTATTAACTAAGGTTTGAACACTTTATTATACTTACACTGAAAAAACAACTTTTCAACAAGAATTGCATTGTTTATTCTTCCCTACAGCTTTCTGAGGCCACAACCCCCACTTTGAAAAACCCTTCTTTAGATCACATTCATACACCAATGGGACCCACATCAGGGGCAGGGGCAATGAAGGGTTCAGAGTTTTGCCCTTCAACTGAATAGTGGTGGAATCGAAATCCCAACTCTCTCATTTAAGGAATACTGCCCAAACTAAACTGTATAAATGCAGAGGACAACACAGTCAGAACCCAGTGGTCCTCCTACCCCTCAGGGACAAGGGACGCACATATGAGGACAGTAATGGACACATTTTGGGCAAAGATGATTTATGGTTTGAGAGAGGATGGTGGGGGGGGAAAAGGCTCCCTTATGTCAAACAGGAACATTAAAGAGAGGAGGTGGTCTCAGRTTTTACCTTCTCAGCACATACAGTTCAGTCTGATCTACAAACATCGATTTGCACCTTCATGCACGTGACCAGAACATCCAGGTTAAATCATAAGCTCGTAACTTTACAACATTCAGTTTAGGGTCGAGAAATTTATAAAAGCTACAATCATAAGTTGTAAGAATGTGATTTTGCTTTGAAAAGACATAATGAAAATTCATTTTTTTTGGAAAACTAATTGGTTTGTAAAGTGGTTTGACGTATGTGTCTCACCTTCAGCCTGAGGTTAACGTGTTGTTCAGGTCTGCTTTGAAATGGTTCATGAACTTTCTATGATGTTTTTAAAGGGCATACAGGTGTTTGTAAAAGAAAAGCCACCCTTGTTTCTTTCTCAGACCCCTTTTTCTATTGTTGATAAAACACCTTTCATACGTACCTGCCTTTTTCATGTGCAATATCAAGTGTCTGCCTCTATGACGTTACATAGATAAATATGTAAATAGGATTTAGTAAATCCCTATGCCTCTTGGTAAATTATTGCTTTAAGGTCTGATTTGCCAAAAGCTTTTAAGTGTTAGTTCGTGTTGTTTCCATTAAAAAAAAGTAAGTGGAATTATTTTAATTCTATCATGTTTTTGAGAGTTCAGACCTTTGACAGTTTTCTATAATGTGTGTGTGTGAGAGTGTGTGAGTGTGTGAGTGTATCTGTCCTGTAATGTTTGGTAAAGAGTCAGGGCAAAATGTGCCAAGCAAACATTTTCTACTTCCTGGACAAACTGGGAGTTGTAGACCAGACGTGACTTAAAGAAAAGTTTATTCTTCGACACCCGAAGGGCCGATGGGCTGCGATTTGTCTTCAGCTCGTTTGTGAACCCGATCCACTGTAACCACCCCCCCCCCCCCCACCCAATCACAGCAGAAATCTGGCCTGTGGTGGGATGTCAATGTAACCATCACCTGTGACACATTTGCTAAAGGTTGCAAAAGTATATTTGCTGTAAATAACAAAGTTTTAAAAAGCAACTGTTTTTTTTTTTTTTGATTGTCTGTCATCATTACAAGTAGAAGTACTGTATTTTGATTCTGTAATGTATTTAAAGTGGTTGCTTCTTTTTTTTTTTCTAAGCCATTTTTGAACAACTCCGGGAGGGGATGAGAGAAAATGACGTGTGTATTTAGGATTTAAAGGTGATATTCTACCACAAAATAAACAAAAACTCAGACTAATTGTATAAATGATGTTTATACTAAGAGGTAAATCTAGTCATCATCTTCTGATTAGTTCTGTCGGGTGGTGTTGTTCTTCTACAGATGTATGTAACTTGGACATTTTGGAGAAAGAGACAAATAGATGACCWTTTGTTTTATTTTTTTTTTCTTTCTTGAAATAAATCTAGTTAAAAGTGTTTTGGCTGTTTTGTCTTCCTGTGCACTGCTTCACTACATACTGCAACTCCTCTGTGACACAGTGGTCTGCCGACACAGATTGAGCCATCTCTGCTGATCCGGTTGGTCCGTGTCACATTCTGTAATGTGTGATAGGATCAAAATGCTCCAACCCTGGAGACAAAATCAAAAACTGTCCACTGCTACTGCTGGTCCTCTCCTCTTTTTTATTTCCTTGCTCTACATCTTTGTGTAGTTAAAATTAAACTGCCAATATATTTGAAGCTGTTGAAACAAACCCATCTGTCTGAAAAAAAAATTTTAATCTTAGAACACAACATTAATATAAATTTAACAAGGTCTAATATGTGACTTAAAAAGAAACAAATAGCCACATTTCACCTCTTTTTGAATCTGGTGCAAAGATAAAAACAAATTCTAAAGAAAATACAGCAGCTTAATTATTTACACAGTGTTTTCTAAGGAGCTGCAGTGCTCAGTGGTCAGTAACAGAGTTTGTAATCCTGAGGTTGTGGGTTTGAGTCCAAGTTGTGTCAGGAAGGGCATTCATTGTAAAACAGTTGAGAAATTTGTGAGTTTGCTCACCGTGATGATCCCTGCAGGAAGGAGGCAGATCAAAGGAAAAACAACACAAACCGTACTCTAAGACCATTCTGCTTAATTACAGGGAATTATTTTTGATTTCATGCGCAAAATATGCTCAGCTTATTTTTAATATTTCAAAATTAGAATTTTACTCCACATTTGTGCAGATTTTAATAAAACTTGCCACTTTTATGAGATTATTTTACATGAGTGCATTATTATTTTTCAACAGTGATAATATCAAAAAATATAATAATAGCTGGTTATATTTTAATGGAACTCTCAAAAACGTAACATTGGCTGCAGCTGATAAGCATTTGGAGTCCATTCAAGATGGCCGCCACAGCTWAACCCTTGACCTTAACAMCAAAATGGCTATAACTCAGTCAGTTTTACAAACACTGAGGTCAAATTTCACGTAGTAACAGCTGAGAGTCGTTCTTGACCAACACTCTGAGACTGAGCATGATGGTATTTTCAAGGTTTGACCAAAACAATAGTAGCTCTGTCATTTCTCAACATAAGGGCATCTAAAAGGCGGCCATGGCGGAGTGGTTAGGGGAGTCCTCCTGGAACCAGAAGGTCACTAGTTTGATCCCGAATCCAGCTGTTTCAGTCGCTGTGTCCTTGGGCAAGACACCTCACCCTCCTTGCCTACTGATGGTGGTCAGAGTATGGCAGCCCTGCCTCTGTCAGTCTGCCCCAGGGCAGCTGTGGCTACAGTGTAGCTTACTATCATCAGTATGTGTGTGAATGCATAAAAATCGTGAAGCGTCTTTGAGGGTCTTGAAAAGCTCTAAGACTAATGCATAATTGTTATAAGACAATCTCAGTTTAAAACTCTGGCATGAAAAGCGGCAGGCAATGTGTCACAAACAAGGAACACTTGTTATTTCATTGCACAACTTGTCACCTTGTATGACATATAAATTCGTTACGTAACCTATTCTATAATTGTTTAAAAAATAATCATAAATATAACCATAAAGCTATCAGGTCTTCGCATGATTGTTTCCTGTTTCTTAAAGACAYAACTTTTAAATACTGTTCATCTGATGGAGATATATCGTTTTAGGCCAACTTTCTAATGTTTAAACTCGAACTGGGCACTAGTACAGTTTTTATTCTTTTTAATATAAAAATTAGATAAAGTTCATCCATTTTTAACTGCTTCTTCCTTTCCGGGTCACAGGGGTCATTGGTGGCCACCTGAACAGATCGCAAGTCATAGTGACAAACAATTCACTCTCTAGCATGCATGCTTTTGATCTGTGGGAAGTAATCAAATAACAAGGAACTATTGAAACCACTCTTAAAATATATACAATACAGTCTCCCATCTTGGCAGGAAGCTGCTAAAAAATTAATGATGCCTCAAGTCTACTGCACAGCATTTATT